GGGGTCCTTCCTGAATTGGCATAAAAACATAGTTGGCAACAAAGAAAATTAAGAACCAAGCCAAATTTCAAGCGCCTTTAAAAAGGTTGGTTAGGTACTGTCAATGTAGAAACTCACTTCTCACTCCCAGTTTTCTGTATCTTCAGCCTTTAAAGAAAGCAGTCAGAGAGAAGCAACACTTTACATACAGGTTAAAAATAATTTGAACAATTGGAATTCTCATCAGAAACCATGGAGGCCAGAAGCAATTGGTACAAAACTTATTAGATGCAAAAGAAAAGAACGGTCAACCAGAATTCTATAGCCAGCAAAAATGTCTTCAGGAATGAAGGGGAAATCAAGACATTCTCAGTTGAAAAATAAGAGAATTGCCAACAGATCTACTCTAAAAGAATAACTGAAGAAAAAACAAAAACAAAATACTAAACCTAAATATCACTAGGTTATTTTGCAAAGAGAAAAAAAGGCAATCTCTCTCACCTCCTGCATAGTTTTCCTGCATTGACTTTAATCTTCCTACAGTCTAGTCCTTGACACATGAATCAGAGTAATTCTTTCAAAATATAAATTACATTGTGTAACTCTGATTCAAACCCCTTTAATAATTTAAATAATTGGAGTAAAAGCCAACATTACTTACAATGATTTATTGAACTCTTCACAGTCTGACCTTGCACTAACCTCTTTGACTTTATCTTCTGCAGTCTCCTCCCCCCCAACACACACATAAAACTTCTAGTAGTGTCTTTGAAGTTTCTTAATCACCTCAAGCATGCTCCCAAATAAATGCCTTTGGCCTTACCATTTTTTCTATCTAGAATGCTCTTCCCACAGTTAACTCACTCACTTCTTTTGGTCCCCTTTTCTGGGGTCACCCAATCAGAGAACCCCTCCTTCCACACTGCCACATTATATATAACAGCATCCCCATTCACTAACACCCCACTGTCTCTTTATAGCATGTATCAGCAAGGCATTTAACTTCCCCTCCAGCTTTCCACCCCAAATGTTTTAAATCATCCATAATTCAAGATTTTTCTGAAACTGTGACTTTATAATCATTTTTTAAGAAATATTAATGATTAAACTTCACAGCCAGGTTATTGAATATTTAAATCTAAACAATACTACATAAATTAGTCACCACTATTTCTATAATCCCACATGTTCTACTTATTTATGTAATATTCCCTATCCTGATATTTTGAGAGTTCCAGAAAAATCTAGATGTTAGACAATCTCATTCTAAAAATAACCAATACATATAGAGATCTGGCCCACCTGAACCACCAACTTTCTGTGGCTATCCAAGGATAGAAAATCCTACTACATTCTGTGAATCAAATATCTAGTCACTTATTAAATCAGTATCTTAAACACTCTTCTCAGCCACAGCTTTCCCTGCACCCGTGTAACTCCATCAATTCTGTCTATGTTATAAGTAATGTCTTTTGTAAGATCATAAATTCTGTTATCCTTACAAATCTGAAGCAACCTTAGTAATCCTTTGTTTTAGGTGCCTAGATATTATTTATTAAAGATATATGGTAGTCTGGACAGGCTAGTTTACACTCAGGTAATACGTTAAGGCCAAAGTTTCAGTGGCTTGAAATATTTCTTGTGTTGAAAAGTACCATGAACAAGTGATCAGGGGGGCTGTGCTCCATACAGTCACCAGGGCCCCGGTCAAATGGATACTCTACCTTCCTACACTCACTCTTTTGTGCATTAGCCAGGAAGTGCCTCACGGTACTTTAGCTCACAGGTCATTGGCCAGTGGTGGCATTTAGCCTGCCTACCTGGAAGGGAATGTGATGACTCACTTGCATATGTAATGGTCGATAGATGTCTTTGTCACAGAGAATTAAATAGAAACATTCTGACAATTATACATTTCACTTTTCTTTTAAATTAATAAAGGTAAGGCTAGCTGAGGATCTGCTGAGACAGAGAACTTCCTGGGTTTATTTCAAATGTTGTGATGGGTTTTGTTTAAAACTGAGTCAATATTTTAAATAAAATTAGGTGTAAAAAGACAGAACACATATTAACCCACAAATAACTTTTAAAATACTCAACAAATTTGAGGAAATGTTTCATAAGTTAATAATCCCTAAGTCTTTCTTCCTTGTGTGATAGAGATTGCTTATTAACTACATTTTCTTCTTTATACTGCAAAGTTCCAGTACACAATGGGACTTTGCCACTCCCATGCAGAGGTAAAATCTGTTTCTCTAACCACTTAAACTTGGGCTGACCTGAGTCTTGCTTCGACCACTAGAATGTGGTGCTAATGATGTGTAAGTTGCAGAGCACAGACCTCAACAAGTCTCACCGCTTCTGCCTTCACCTTGTTGGAATGCTATCTTGAAATAACTACTTAATGAAGCCAATTGAACCAACGGGAGGATGAGAGGGCAAGGGCAGAACTGAGGGCCCCAGGTGACAGCCAGCATCAGCCATGTGAGTGAGACCATCTTGGACCTTCCCTCCCAACCAATCCTCCAGCTGAATGCAGCCATTGACTGAACGTGGGTGTAATCAGAAGAAAGGTCCAGCCAGCCTACAGAATTATGAGAAATATAAATAGCTATTGTTCTAAGCCACTAAGTATTAGAATAACTGATACACTGAAGTAAACTGATAAACTCTTAAAGTGTAACACATTTTATAATTGACCATATAAGTAAAATTAGCTTTTTCTGATAGCTGTGCATTATTAACCAAAGTGCTAACCAATATGTTTTAAATTTAAAAAGACAATGTTAAATAGCTATCTATTCATAATTATGAAAATATGTTTTTTAATATGAAAAATGTCCCGTACCTCTCACATATATCAAGATCAACTTAAAATGAATCAAAGACTTAAGTATAAGACCTGAAACTATAAAACCCCCAGAAGAAAACATAGGGGAAACACTTCAGGATATAGGACTGAGAAAAGACTTTATGAATAACACCCCAAAAGCACAAACAGCAAAAGAAAAAACAAACAAGTGGGATTATATCAAACTAAAAACCTTCTGCACAGCAAAGGATATAATCAACAGAGTAGGGAAACACTTCAGGATATAGGACTGAGAAAAGACTTTATGAATAACACCCCAAAAGCACAAGCAGCAAAAGAAAAAACAAACAAGTGGGATTATATCAAACTAAAAACCTTCTGCACAGCAAAGGATATAATCAACAGAGTGTACATTGTACTGCTGTACGGAAAAGAAGACAACCTACAGAATGGGAGAAAATGTTTGCAAACTATGCATCTGACAAAGCATTAATACCCAGAATATACAAGGAACTCAAACGACTTCACTCTAACAAATACTACAATTTAAAAATGGGCAAAGGAACTGGATAGACATTTTTCAAATGAAGACATACAAATGGCCAAAAGGTACATGAAAAAACGCTCATCACTAAGCATCAGGAAATGCAAATCAAAATGACACTGAGATATCTCACCTCAGCTAGACTGGCTTTATCAGAAAAACTGAGAACAACAAATGCTGTTGAGGATGCAGGGAAAGGGGAACACTTTTGCACTGTTGGTGCAACTGTAAACTAGCACAGCCATTACGGAAAACAGTGTGGAGTTTTTTCAAACAACTACAGATAGAACTGCCATATGATCCAGTAATCTCACTTCTGGATATATACCCAAAGGAATGGAAATCATCATGTCACAAAGACACCTGCACTCCCATGTTCACCACAGCTGCATTTACAATAGCCAAGATATGGAACCAACTTAAATATCCATCAATGGGCAACTGGATAAGGAAAATGTGGTATATATACACCATGGTATACTACTCAGCCATAAAAAAGAATAAAATTCTGCCATTTGTAGTAACACAGATGAACTTAGAGAAAAGCATATTAAGTGAAATAAGCCAGGTTCAGATAGAAAAATACCACATATCCTCATTCATAAGTGGGAGCACAGAAAAAGAATAAGAAAAATCACAGGGAAGAAATAAAAAGAAAGAAAGAAAGACCATAAATAAAATGTTGAACTTTCAGAGGAGAGAACAAACCTACAGTTACTAGAGGTGGGAAAGGGGGCGGGGAGTTATGGAGTAATTACGGGACACGAAGAATTACAATTTGCAATGATGAACATGCTAATATTGATTTGATCATCACATACTGTACACAAATATCGATAGCCAACTCTGCCCCATAAATATGTATAATCTATGTTTCAATTCAAAAAATAAATTTTAAAAAAAGATAGTTGCAACTAAATGAAGTATGTTTTCCATCTAAACCTTTGGAACTAACCTATTTTCTGATAAATAATGGAAATACAGTGAGGATCCAAATCATCAACAGTTTATTGTTGTTTGTTTTAATAAGGATAGCTAAGATTGCAAAGAGGACTATTATAGCTATTCAGTGATCATTAGTAAAAAATCCAAATCTCTTGATATAGTCTTTTAACTATGTCAAATAACATAGCAAAATATTAACCACAGCTTTCCCTGTGGTGTCATTGAGACTTTTTTATTGTTCATATGTTTTTATATTTATAGTGAAAGTATAGAAAATTTGATTACGTTTTACAACTAAGTACGGCTTAACAAACATTAACTTTCAGATTCTAAGAGGATAATGACAATTGCCTAAACCTGACTATCTCCTTGCATTCTCCAAAAAACATTCAGAAGAGAACAAATAAAATCATTTCCCATGCCTGCAGCAAACCTAGAAAACAGAACACTAACTTCAAGTTGTAGTCCAGGAGGAAAATAAACATGAAAAGCCAGCTCCAGAGGCCATTCCAGAACCTAACTGTCACCTAGTTAGGTCATGCAGTCAACTTTAATAACACAAGTGGGTACTATTATCCCCATGTCACAGTTGAGGATTGAGGCAAAGAGAAATACTCAAAAAAGTAAAAGCACACAATGAGTGTAAATTTCCAATAGCAAAAGAAAAAGCATTTTTTGAATTTGATGCCAGTATAATAAAAACTCCCTTATCAAAAGGAGTGATAAAAAGGGAAATATCCATTTTATTAAAATTGCAGGTTAATAAAAACATTTAAAAACATTTGGTATCAGTAAGAACTCGGCCATCTTCAGAAGATTTCTTACAGCTTTGGGCATATTTTTTCCTTGGTCCCCAGGCAGCTGCAATTGCTCTTTACATTGTATAGATGCAAATTTTAGTACAACCCACTTCCATTTCCCATTAAGGAGAAAATGGGGCATAGGATGTGCAATGATTCGATCTCAGGTACTTCCTATAAGAAGGAAAAAAAAAGGGATAATAAATAAATAGCTTTTATGTTACAATGATGAGGTTATCTGGTTGGAAGAAACTTTTTTTTCTTATTGGGATAAAAGGAGGAGAAAATGATTTGTAGCTTTGAGCCTAACCCACAAGAGAACATTACATCAAGTGCTATAAATGCTTAAATTTTGTGGTTGAGCATTTTTTTTTCTGCATCTTTCTAAGTACTATATATCAAAATAGGGGCAACATTTTAATTTCCTATAGGAAATGGTTTTATCTCAAATTGTAGTTTTAAAAATAATCTCTTTAGAACAAATCCCTTTTCCTTCAGTGACACCACATCTCAAAAAGTCTTAGCCCTATAACAAAATTTTCATTATTTCCCTTTTGCTGCTCAGTGGAAAAATTCCATGAGAAAGAAGCATTTCTCTGCAAGGGTTTGATTTTAAGAAAGAGAACTTCTTTCTAATCAAGAAAATGCTAAATTCACATCTCCACTGATTGCTTAGTAATCTTTGGCCTTGACATTAACACTAAAATATTTC